TGTGGTCCTAGGAAAGGAAAATGGGCCCATAAGGTAGGGTTAATGGCCCAAAATAACTAGAATATGGGCCTTATTAACACTAAGTTAAACACTAGCTTCATTGCTTGTGTTTTTGGTGACTCCAGAGACTGTCTTCTCAACCAAATCCAGTTTTCCTTGGGCTTTTCTTTCTGCTATCTGTCTCATAGTAGCATAAAGCAGCAGTTGGACGAGGCCGAGCACCGTTCCAATCAGATTTGGCGTCTGAAATGAAGAATTGGACTTTTTTGAAAATTCGATATGCATTTAACTTATATACATTGACAGTATATAATAGCAATAGATAACCTCAAAGAATTAGTTGAAGAAATACTTACAAGAATGTAGACGTCGAGACGAATGAGGGCATAAGTAGTCCAGCTAGCGCTGCAGAGAAAGGAGAAAAAGGAAAGGAAGAACGGCATGTACTCCACACTTTTGGTTTTGATCACCAATTTCTACAATAGTAAAATTTATGTTTTTCTACTCGTCATGATAGCTTCATTTAAACTCATCTCAAACTAATATTATATAAAATAAAAGTCATAATACATAAATAGGCCCTTAAAGTTGGCCTCAACTGGCAAGTACGCTCTTCAATTTTGGATGTGCGCAAGTAGGCACCTCAATTTGTATAACGTTGAACATGTAAACACAAATGTTGTCGTGAAACAGACGTGACACATAAATTTTGGAGGTGTTTCCTTGATCATTTTGTAAGTTGGAGTGTTCAACTGATAAAGTGTAGACAAGTTGAGGTGCCTACTAGTGCACACCCAAAGTTGGAGGGCATACTTGACCGCTGAGGCCAAATTTGAGGGCCTATTTATGTATTATGCCAAAATAAAAAACATCAAAAGTTCTATATATTTTCTACTGACGTAAGATAAATTATTTACGTACCATGATGGCCAAAGGAGAACCATACATCAAAATATTTCCCACCATGCAAATATTACCAACAATTGTAGACCTTTTTTCATGGCTATGGACTAGAGTTATGACAAGAATGGCAATTAAACCAATGAACATGATTTCACTTAGGACAATGAAGAAAACTTTCATCCTTTGCTTCCTTTCAGAGTACAGCACGAATAGCGTCAAGTACACTATCTCAATGCCAAGTCCAATGCCATTAATGGTCATTATAAGAATGCCCCCATGTGGTTGAATCCATGGAAGTCCATACAAAAGCCAAAGGCCACAGTTTAGGAATGTTGCAATGTATGGAAATGGTGAGAACTTCTCCATTGATTTCTTCTTCCATGTATGAATAAATGTTGGCCTAATCAAAAGGTTAAAAAGTTTATCACTAAGAGGTTAAGTCAAATACTAAAGGCAGCCGGGTGCACTAAGCTCTCGCTATACGCCGGGTCCGGAGAAGGTAAACCACAAAGGTCTATTGTATGCAGAATTACCCTACATTTCTGCAAGAGGCTGTTTCCACGGCTTGAACCCGTGACCTCCTGGTTACATGACAATAACTTTACCAGTTATGTCAAGGTTCCCCTTCAAAGATTAAAGCACATAATTGAGTTTACCTCTTATATCACTTTTGTTATCTTGTGGTAATCATCAATTAAATTCTTTATACTGTCTGTATATATATGTAAAATCAATAATAATCTGTTCAATGCATGCTTTTTTTTGGGGCGGGGGAAGGGATATTTTATGTATATATCTCGTAAAATTGATCTAATATTATCTGTTGGCCGTCATGCTCTAAAAATATTGAATAATGCACTTTGAATGCCGCTTTATTTATCCAAAGGAACATAAATCGATTCCCACCTCGTACTTTTTTCTCACTTTTTTAGTGGTGTACTCATGTTCTAAAAATCCTAAATCCGCCCGTGACTGTCATGATATATGTATTCTTTATCTTGAGAACTCAAAGAAAACAGTGGAGTTAACATGGGAAAAGCTTACTTACAATGGTGATAAAAACAAGATGAGTGCAACAGTACTCCCTGAAAATTGAAAAAACATAGAAAAATTCATGTATAACAGGACTTTGCCCAAAAAAATAAATAGTGAGAAACAATTCGTGTGTGTGTGTGTGTGTTAATTATGTGTACTTTTTTTGGGGGGCAAGAAAATTAAACTGACCAAAAACACCAACAGCAAAACGAGCATTATCTCTATCAAAAACCATGGCTGTGAAGAGAAAGAAGAACAAATACTAGAACAAGAAAATGTAAGAGGAATGAAATGGAGAGTGACAAACTTAATTATAATGGATTTAGTTAAAGTTATATACATCTACAGGTAAGAATTTTTACTCTGATGTAATAGGTTATTTATAATAAGTCAAAGTTACTTTTTTTTTTCCTTTTGTTTACACTGAATTCAAGGTCAAACTTATCCTTATCCTCAGTCAATTAGCATGGATTGCACTAGGAGTAATCCTTCACTGTTTCCATAGATTAGTACTCCCTCCGNATATATAATAATGATACCATTTCCTAAACGTCTTGAGAAATAATTTGGAGAATGCGTAATTAATGATAAGAGTAAAGCATGAAAAAAAAAGATTGTCATTTTCTTTATTAAGTAGAGTGGACAAGTAAAAGTGATAAAATATACTTTTAGTATAGTAAACAAGTAAAAGTGAAGGGAGTGAGTACATTTTTTCTTTTGGATTTGAATTACCTTTACTAATTTCATAAATATATTATAGGAAATTGGCTACATTGAAAAAACAAATCAAATACATAAGGAATGTGCAAAAAAAAAATTACATAATTAATATCCTAAAAAACGCATGAATATATAGTACCAACATCATGCACCTGCTAATTTCTAGAAATTCAAACTTATTATTAACATACAACAACAACAATAACAACAACAACAACGACCCAGTATAATCTTACAAGTGGGGACTGGGGAGGGTAATATGTACGCAGACCTTACCTCTACCCCGAAGGGTAGAGAGGCTGTTTCCAGGAGACCCTCGGCTCAAAAAAGCAATAGGAGATGATATATTAGTACCATAAAAATGCGTAATAAAAATAACAACAATATATAAGAGATATGAAATATGAAATACAGAATACGAAATACGAAATACGAAATAGATGGCTGGTATAGTACAACTAGAAGGTAAAGCCCTGCATCAATAGACGACCAATGACATTCCTAGTCTAACTCCTAACTGGATAGTCTCACTCTATTGTGCTGTAGAAATATTCACACTCTCCCCTAACCTACAACCTTAATGCTCGACCTCCATAATTCCCTATCAAGGGCCATGTCCTCAGTAATCCTAAGTCGCGCCATGTCCTGTCTGATCACCTCTCCCCAATACTTCTTAGGTCTCCCTCTACCTCTCCGCGTGCCCACTACAGCCAGTTGCTCACACCTCCTCACCGGTGCATCAGTGCTCCTCCTCTGAATGTGCCCGAACCATCTGAGTCTTACTTCCCGCATCTTGTCCTCCATGGGGGCCACACTCACCTTCTCTCAAATATCTTCATTCCTAATCTTATCCATCCTTGTATGCCCGCACATCCACCTCAACATCCTCATCTCTGCTACTTTCATCTTCTGGATGTGTGAGTTCTTTACCGGCCAATAAATATACTGTTCCAATAAAATTATCCAAGTTTTCCTGTGATGATCCTCCAGCTCGTATTGCATTCTCTAACATCTTTTTCACTTTCTTGATTGCATTTCTAAATTCATCACTTGATTTTCCATACATTAAATGGTGTATTTTCTCCAATACTTCGTCCTTAGTGATTTGATTTTTATCGCACAAATTAAGTCCGATCTTCCAATCATCAACGACTAATTTTCGATTAGTGAATTGATCAGTGAGCAAAGGGAAACAAAGCAACGGAACTTGACACCAAATAGCTTCCAAAATAGAGTTCCAACCACAATGAGTCAAGAATCCTCCGATTGCTGTATGAGTCAACACTTGTTTCTGACAACACCAAGGTATGATCAAACCACGACCATGAGTTTCACTTTGAAAGTCTTCCGGTAATGGATTCGGGTCATCGGAGCTGACAATATCGGGTCGGAGCACCCAAATAAAACTAACTTTACTTAATAATAAACCATAAGCTATTTCAAGAAGATTATTTTTGTTAAGATGGGCATAGCTACCAAATGACACGTACAAGACTGTTGCATGTTGTTGTAGGTCGAGCCAATGGGTGCAGTCGAACTCGGACCACATGCTAGTAGCCACGTCAATCTTGTTGAACTCGGGTGGAAAAACGGGACCTATCGCAAAAAATGATTTTTCAACTTGTAAAGCTGATATGGTCTCGGGTTCGAGCTCTTGGATAGTGTTACATAAAATAAAGTCAGCACTTCTTACATCTTCAAAGGCATTAGAAATAATTTGATGACATATTGAGGTTGTGTCTGTTTCTTGAAGATATGACATTAGATCCTTTGGTCTGATTGATTGGACTCCTGGTATGTAGTCAATCACGTCCTCACTTTTGTCTGTTGTCAATAGCAAAAGAAACAAGAATAAAAGTTTACTGAACATTTTAGTAGAAAACTAAACGAATTGCAGTAGTGAAATTGTCATAAAAATAGGTTCGTTATATATTTCTACTATGGAAAATGGCTAAATATACCCATGTACTATGAGAAAAGGTTTAAATATACTCTTCGTTATACTTTGGGTCTAAATATACTCATGTACTATGAGAAAAGGTTTAAATATACTCTTCGTTATACTTTGGGTCTAAATATACTACTGTTAGGAGCACTGAGGTAGCATGTCACGTGACATCTACTGTAACAACCCGACTGGTCGTTTTGGGAATCTGCACTTCACTCGGTGTTTGAAGGCTTGGGTATCTCCACATGATGTATTATGACTTGCGTAAATCGTCGGTATGAGTTTTCGGGTTGTCCGGAATCGATTTGGAAGAATGAACTTCGAGAGTTGAGTATTAAGTTGGAAGAGTTGACCAAGTTTGACTTTTTAGCATTTGACCTCAGAATGGAGTTTCGTCAGTTCCGCTAGCTTCGTTGGGTGATTTTGGACTTAAGAGCTCGTCCGGATTGTGATTTGGAGGTCCGTAGTTGAATTTGACGCAAAATGGCAAAAATTGGATTTTTGGGAAGTTTGACCGGGAGTGGACTTTTTGATATCGGGGTCGAAATTCAATTTCGGAAGTTGGAATAGGTCTATAATGTCAAGTGTGACATATGTGCGAAATTTGAGGTCAATCGGAGCTGAATTGGTAGGTTTCGACATCGGTTGTGGAAGTTGAAGTTTCAAATTTTATTGATTTTGACTTGAGGTGTGATTCATCGTTTCGAGGCTGTCATGCGTGAGTTGAAGCTTCGATTGGTTCGTCTTGTCATATGGAACTCGTCTGCAAAGTTTGGCGCCATTCTGAATTGATTTGATAGGTTCGGATGCTTAGTTGTGATTCTAGAAGTTCTTGAAGTCTAATTTGATTTGCATGCGTTTTGGCGTCCGAATCGTGGTTGCAGGAGTTATTTTGATGATTTGAGTGCACGAGCGAGTTCGTGTTGTGTTTTTAGACTTGTGTGCATATTTGGTTTGGAGCCTCGAGGGCTCGGGTGAGTTTCAGATTAGTTCCGGAGTGTTCTTGCATAGTTTTTAATTGTTGTTTCTAGTATTTTCGCATTTGCGAGGTTTGGATCGCAAATGCGGCCATCGCATTTGCGAAGAAACCCCGCATTTGCAAAGCCTGGGTGACTGGGCAGTTTTCGAATTTGCGATGAACCAGCTGCATTTGCGAAGGCTGGTTTTCGCATTTGCGAAGTTTTCTGTTGCAAATGCGACCTCAGCAGGTATCCTCCAGGTTCGCAATTGCGATGTATTCTTCGCAATTGGAGCTTCGCATTTGCGAACTTCCTGTCGCAATTGCGACATCTGTAACCTGTTAAATGCTGAGAATTCCGGGTTTTTGCTTTATTCTTCATATTTTTGAACCCTAGCTTCGAGGTGAGGCGATTTTGAGCGGGGATTTTCATGGAAAATCTTTGGGTAAGTATCTTTAATCAATTTCCAATTATATTTCATGATTTTATACAAAATTTAACATCAAATTCATGGGAAAACTATGAAAAAATTGGGGATTTTGTCAAAGCTTTGAAAAATGAAAATTTGAGATTTGGAGTCGAATAAGACTCGGATTTGAAAACAAAATACATATTTGGACTAGTGAGACTATGGGTAGTCAAGACCTACCCTTGGACCCGGGTTTTGACCGGGCGGACTCGGGGTTTGACTTTTGTTGACTTTTGGGAAATCTAATAAAAATCATAGCTTTATTAATTGGAATTATTTTCTCTTGCATTGTGTGGTGTATTCAAGTCGTCATAGGCTGGAGTGAGTCGGGCGGAGGCGAATTTGTGGAGGAAAAGACTAAATTGAGTGTTGGATTGACCGAATTGAGGTAAGTGTTTTGCCTAGCTTTGTTGAAGGAATTTTTCCTCCTATTTGTCATTGTTTGCTACATGCGAGGGTGATACATATATGAGGTGATGAGCGTATATATATGTGCCAGGGTTAATCATGCTAATGGGGTGGATTATGTTATAATTGTGTGTGTAGAGATTGGTGACATTCTCCTTAATGCCTTACTTGACTCTTAGATATTAAAGACATAATATTAAATAATAGATATCAAGACTTAGTTTGTTATAACTTGGATCACACTTGATGGAAATTGTAAGAATACACTGATGTGTTTAATTCGGTCATCTCTATGTGAAATCATTACTACATTACTACAACCGATATTCATGAGATGCTAGACTCTATACTTGTGTTGTGAATCATGTATGAGATTTGTGAAAGTATTTGAATAATATGGTTCCTGAAGGTTATTGAATCATTGTTGACTTGAAAAGTTGTAATTGGGAATTGTTTGAAATATCCGTTAAAACACTCTCCTTGATGTCAGTTATGCTTCCTGCCTTGTTTGTTGCTGTTATATATGCTTGGTAAGGAAGAGTGTAAAGCACGAAGGGTGATGCCGCGCCATGCTTTATACATTATCATGTGAGGGAGAGTGTAAAGCACGAAGGGCGATGCCGTGCCATATTATTGAGAGTAAAAGCATGAAGGGTGATGTTGTGCCTATCATTGAGAGTGAAAGCACGAAGGATGATACCGTGTCATTTCATTTATATTGTTATGCTTGTATGTTATAGTGAGGTCATGGCACAAAGGGTGTTTCCGTGCAGGTGAGGACGAGGGACATGCATTATGATGTGGTATCTGCTTTCCCGTATATACATTTGTGCCCTTACCTTGAGCTGTTATTGTTGTACTTACATATTTTGTGTGACTTGTCGCTATTGTCCTGTACCTAGCTTTTATCTCTATTGTTGTTGCACTGTCCATTTCTTTTACTTGCCTAATTTGCGAATACCGTGCCTACTTCCTGCTTTTATAATTATACTCATGTTGTATTTATTCTGTTGCACTTTAGTTTAAGTCTTTCACCATGCTAGCCATTCATGCCTTATTCGTTAACTTATGAAGATCATGCGTTTCCATCTAAATTGTTATAATTGTACTTAGGCCTCCAATATACTAGTTAATTGAAGTTAATATACCTTGCTTTCCAGTTGTTGTTATTACTCATGTGCTTTCCGTTTAGTTCTTTATTGTTTCCCACATGTATATCCTTGTCCATTGTTGTTATTTACGTATTCCCTACTTTGTAATTCCTGTCATTGTGTTTCTGTCATATGGTAGGTTACGTTATACGTTCATTTGGAAGGATGAGTTGAACGCACGAGAGGTGTTGTCGTGCTAATTGAAATGTTACATAATCTAATTATACATGGTGAGGATGAGATAAAAGCATGAAGGGTATTACCGTGCCATGTGATTTGACAGTTGGCATTTTGGACATATATCTCATACTTTACTGTGATTCCCTTTTGTAATTATTGACTGTCTCGCCGAGTTGTTTATGATACTTTTATCGGTTATGCTTTGAACTGCTTTTACTGTTAGTCTAATGTACATGTTATAGCAGTAAGCATCTTTTAACTAAAAGCCTCGTCACTACTTCGACGAGGTTAGACAAAATACTTACCAGTATATGGGGTTGGTTGTACTGATACAACACTTCTGCACGTCCCGTGCAAATTTTGGAGTGGAGCTGCTGGTGATGTCGGGTGCTGATTCGGAAGATGTTCGTGCGTTTAGATATAACTGCCACTTGTCCTTGGTAGTTTAGATTACTATTAATCTGTTTATGTAACCTTCAAACAGAACGTGTATTTATTTGTATCAGCTTTGAAATTCCAAATCTTAGAAGCTCATGATTCGTACTACGAGATCTTGGTTAAATATGTAAAGGTTCAGTTAGCTATCCTCTATTTTCTTATTATCTTATTCGTATTGTGTTGTTCATGTTAGTTGGCTTACCTAGCGGTTGAGTTAGGTGTCATCATGACTTGTGATTTTTGGGTCATGACATCTATCTCATCAAATTTTACTGTCTCGTAGGATATATTGGATATCCACCTTGGACAAATTTAACGGAAGAGGGGTATATTTGAACCAATAATATTACAGTAAGGGTCTATTTGGACCCAAAGTATAACGAGGGATATATTTAAAGCTTTTATCATAGTATAAGGGTATATTTGACCCTTTNTATATATATATATATATATATATATATTGAAGTCGAAATAATGAAGGACGAAAGGCGATTATTCAAATGGAAAATCAATTAAGGCTTGTTTGGTTACCAAAGATTGTTAATACTAATTAATTACATCTTTATAAAAGAATGTTGTATTAGAATAAGAAAAATTTTCTTATATGATAGTTTTTTTCTTTTTTTACTAAAATTACGAAATTGATTTATTGTGAAATGAATAAAAATATCTCTAAAAAGAACATTAAAAATTCTGAATCGATCCTTTTTGCTATCATACTAAAATGTTTCCTTATATCTAGGGGATTCAATAGTTTATATATAACCAGAAAAAAATCGTTGTCTCCCTATTTGCATGTACCATTTTCGATGAAGGAGATTCAATTAAACCCCTCACATGAACCTAGCTCCGCCTCTTCTATTAATTAATATACCTATACACATGAAATTTGTGATTCAGGATTTAACTTTAACCTACCATTATATATATTTGATGCCATATTTTGAAATTCTTCGTTGACTAAGGACATGGTCCTAGACAGGAGGATGTAGAGGTCAAAAATTAGGGTAGAAGGTTCGTAGGTAGTCGAACGTTTCTTTTTGTCTTACTCAGTTCGCTAGCATTAGTGTTAGTACGATATCTTTTATCCATAGATGACTATTACTACATAAAATTTAACTGCATTCTTGGATTCAATCTTATTTCATCTTGTTACTATTCCTACTTGTTGCAATTGCTTTTTCTTTTTCAGTCGTTCTCTAGCCGAGGGTCTATCAGAAACAGCCTCTCTGCCCTTCCAGGGGTAGGGGTAAGGCTGCGTACATCTTACTCTCCCCATACCCTACTTGTAGGAAACTACTGAGTTTGTTGTTGTTGTTGTTGTTGCCGCTCAAATTAAACATATAGGAGAGAAGGAAAATGAACTTAGGGAGGCTTACCAGTACAACCAAAGTGGCCATTTAACTCCAAGAGATGAAGATGATAATAAATGGTAAAAACCAAAGCTGTCTCTGTCCAAAAAGATATGTACAAAAGTCCATATTTCTTGGCCAATTTTCCTGGAAAAACAAAGAAAGAATCAGCAATCAAGCAATTCACAGGAGGATCGATTTTCGATTCCATAATTTTCAGCAAAGCTTCCTCAACATGAGCTGAGAACACATGTAACAAGGCAGACATGAATTGGTCATGGTTCAATGACCGATCGAAATTTAATGGAAGTCCATCAGATACTGTCATGTAACGTATATCTAGCCCGAGACCCTGATAGGTAGAAAATATATCGTCCTGATCGTTCTTTTGAGTGATCTGATAGTGTATAGATTGAGTGTTGATGAAGGTAATAGTGAAGCCTTTTTGTGCAAGCTTGATGGTTAGATTTATTGTGGGAATAACATGGCCTTGTAGTGGATAACATACTAATATTGCATGAGGTTTTGATCTTGAATCTACCATTTTTGGTATAAATTTTGAATTATATGCAAATAGACTAAGGTTGAAGAGGTAATGAAAGAGAACTAAGTTTTGTAATGAGTGACCATTAAGCAAAAATATGCTTTACTTTTGGAAATGATACTATATATAGAGGAAAATGTTATGCAGAATTTTATGCTTGCTATTAGAAGTTAATTTGTGAAGTATAAGTGTAAGTGAAATTAAATGACCATACCCCAAAATTTATTTACTTTAAAAAAATTCATTTTGAAAAAAATACTTTAGTTTCTACCTAACTAACTAGAGGAGGCTAAAGTATAAGAGTTAATTTCTTGAATGGTCATTCAAATTAATAAAATTGTATAGTAAAGTCACTTACCCCCTCCATTTCAATCTATTTGAACTTATTCGAATTAAGAGGATCAAAATTGAGTTCACTGTGAATTCGGACATAGATTCATTAAGTTTTTAAAAATAAAATATACATATTTAGAAACTGTATAAAAAAATACTAGTATAAGTTATAATAGTTAACAATTGAAAATATTTAAAATTTATTTATAAAAAATATCGTCAAAAAAAATCTTATTTGACTCCCCAAATAGTAATACGTTCATTCTTTTAAAATGAAGGGATTATCTTTTTTTTTCTTTTTTGCAACAATAAAATCATCGAACTATTCAAGAGTATATAAAAAAAATAAGTAATGACGTCAAGGAAAAGTATTTAAAAATTTAAAAATAAAACAAATTACCTGGTATTTTTTTTACCTTGTTGGAAAAATTAAAAAATTATGGCTAAATAAGCCATCAGACTTTATATTTATTAATTATATAAGTTCACTTTAATTCTCAAGATTATCCTAGAGAAGGTTATTTTGCTTTTGTTCCTTTTTATTTCGTAATAATGCCAACAGAAATGTTGTCACCAAATGACATAATACCCATATTCAGCTATACTAAAAGACATTTTTTCAAACATCAAAGTCTTTGTATTTTACTTCTATTTAGCCATATTCAGCTAATCCTGTATTTCATATTTCATATCTCTTATATATTGTTGTTATTTTTATTACACATTTTTATGGTACTAATATATCATCTCCTATTGCTTTTTTGAGCCGAGGGTCTCCTGGAAACAACCTCTCTACCCTTCGGGGTAGGGATAAGGTCTGCGTACATATTACCCTCCCCAGACCTCACTTGTGAGATTATACTGTTGTTGTTGTTGTTAGCCATATTCAGCTACTCAGTGCGATGTGCTTTGTCAATGTTAAAGAACCTATTTTTCTTCATATCCCAAAAATTGCTCCTCAAATTTCAGGGTAAAATTCAAAATGGTCACACAATTATTATAATTTTTGCACCAAAGTCACATAACGTTATTTATTCACTTAAAAGTCGCAATACTTATCACATAAATAACCAGTGGTGGTCAAATAGCCGAAAAATATAACTTGTGGTGAATTTTTTATTTTATTTTTGTTATCTTTTTAATTTCTCTCTTTTTTTTTTTTTAACAAATACCAATTTTTTTTTTGTTTAAAATAAACAACTGGAGCTTCAGCAAAAGCCATATCCACTAACAACGTCAATGTCAAAATCAAGAAGGCCTCTTCAGAAATCACTAAAAGGCCATTTAAATAATAGTGACAAAGAATTAACCTAAATAGTTACTCACTCATCCGCTTAAACTAAAAATAATCTAAGAATATCGCATATATATAATATATGTATATAACCGTATTTAATCAGTATATAATTTATGTACATTGGATAGGAAAAGCAAGTAGTAAATTTGCTCGCTATTTGCGTAAAGAACAACTTACTCTATTGACGTAATATTCATTCATATTAGGCCGACGGACCGGTTTGAAGACGGAGACCCCTAAAAAACACAAAAAGAAAAAAAACAATGTAGGATAGGATTTTGGTAGCAGCAGAAACGACGAATAATGCAGCGGACGATNTATATATATATATATTATACATCCGACTGCTATTTTTAATTTAACAAATTAAGTGGGCTGCTATTTGAGGTAATTCTTCGACTTAGACTTAAAATTATGAATTCACCTTTTGAGTCATCATTGAAAATACTTTTGAGGAACCGTAATTCCTCAAGTATTTCTATACGTTGTGAGTTCGAGTCTCCCCAAGAGCAAGGTGGGAAGTTCTTGGAGGGAAGGATGTCGGGGGTCTATTTGGAAACAACCTCTATACCCCAGGGTAGGGGTAAGGTCTGCGTACACACTACCCTCCCCAGACCCCACTAAGTGGGATTATACTGGGTTGTTGTTGTTGTTGTCTCTATTAATATTCTTTCTAACCACGTTAGAGACTAATTCATATTGCTTTGTCCAACAATACTTAAAATCTGCTCCATCACGGTTGTGGGGCATCTTGATATTCAATATAAATTTATCACTGCTCACAAAAGTTTGAGTACGAGACCTCCGTCAATAATTGACTATTTCTTGAAAAAATTTACAAATATATAAAAAGTTATAGTCAAACTTTTCAGGTGCCGATAACCCTTTCATGCTCCGCTTCTTGGCATAAATGTTTTTAGTAGCTATGTTAGGTAGAATTTGTCCATATTCTGCAGTTGCATCTACTTCCTATGCATGATCACGAAAACAATACGAATAATTCCAAATCACATGAGATAAAGAAGGTGCACTACATGTTAAGTTGTACCTGAGAAATTTCACATATGAGTTTAAACAGCCTCAGTACTTTATCTTCACAGAAGGCCAGATTTTTTCTGTCTGTTTGCCCAACAATATTGATGTAGCAACTCTCCGAGAAGTTTCATGGAAGATCCAACAAGAAAAAAAAATCTTCCTAGTAAGCTCCCGCTATATGCATGATTAGTGGCGGAGTTAAGATTTAAAACTTACTATAAGTTTAGTATTATAACTTTTTAAAGTTAATAATTCTAAATTCAATAATTTGTATATAGGGCTTGAACCAGAGTTATTGGGTGAAAATAGCACGAGTCAGCCAGTTTTCAGACTGGTAATAGAAATATAGCCAGCGTTTGCAAAGTCATTAAAAAATAGCCACTATTTTGCTGTAACACGGAAAGTTCTAGCATAATATACTGGAGATTGGTGCACCTGTGTATGAACTTCCAACATATTATGCTGGCACTCCATCACACGGAAAGTTTCAGCATAATATACTGGAGATTGGTGCACCTGTGTATGAACTTCCAACATATTATGCTGGCACTCCATCACACGGAAAGTTTCAGCATAATATACTGGAGATTGGAGCACCTGTGTATGAACTTCCAACATATTATGCTGGACTAGTATATTAGCTGGAACTCCAGTATATTATGCTGGAACTTCAGTATATTATGCTGGAACTCCAGTATATTATGTTGGAAGTTCACATGTAAAAAATTCGATCTCCAGTATATTATGCTGGAATATTTTCCGGATTTGGAACAGTGTTTTCGTTCAGATTTATCTGTACATGAAAATTAGCTAAATTTTAATTACTTTTGAAATTGTTGCTATTTTTCAATTATCACTTGTAAATCTGGCTATTTTTGAATTTCACGTTCAGCCAAACATGTAACCGAAGAGTTAGTTCCGCTCCTATGCAGGATCGAGGAAAAAGCTGGACCATCAAATCTAACGAATGTAATTGTCTTAAAATTCTATAGAAAAATCTTTTTCACAATTTGAACACGTGACTTAATTAAACGACCATATATAGTTTTATCATTGTGTGAAAACTCTTCTTTGTTATCGTTCAACAAGACTCCACATAATTCCTTTATGACAATACATACTCCATTTATTTATTAACTTTTGAAAGAGATACTCAATGCCAAGTTTCAGCCCCACGAAAATAAAAGTGCAATTACTGAATAGAATGACGAAAAAAAGAAGTGAAAAGAATGGGTTTTTTTCCTTTCAACCTTTTTCTTTGATTTGTTAAGTAGATTTTGTTTAAATGATAATGTTATTATTAATTATTTTCAAAGTATAAAAACTCGTCAAAATAATATTAACTATAATTTCCTCGTCAAATTATTGTCATGGCAAAATTTAATGAAATCAAACCAAACGGTATTATCAATGCACTCACCCCTTAAAATTCTGAATATGCCTCTATCCATATATTTTGCTTTCTCCTATAAAACATCTTTCGTTCGATCGATTATAGGCCTAATAACTAGCACTTCACGTTCATGCATGGTTCCGTCAAGGTTCGCACTGAAGAGGACGTAATGTAGGTTGTCTATCTTAATACAAGCATCAGTAGCTGGTTTTATGGTTCGAACCCGACCTATAAATCACACAGAAATAATTTTACCGTTGCCCCAAAATTCTCTTCAACTGCCAAATTAAAGTTTTATCTCAGAAATAATTCGTAAAGCTAGCTCTTTCAGGGGATGCTATATAATTAGTTAATATCATCACATGCATGCTATATTATTATTGTCTGCTATAATGAGTTGTCGTTATAACATATGGATATATAAATGATCACCAATTTGGTATACCATTTAAAACATTTCACTGGAAAAGATTCTTGAAGTGAAAAGACTGGTTGAATTGTCACATTTTGTCTCATGCATTGAAAAGACTGCATGGTTGATATATACGTTAAAGGATTCCTTTGTTAATTCCTGATTTAAATCACTTGTGAAGAACAAAATGGAACTCGTCCGGATAGACAACAGGGAGAAGCATGATGATTATGTGTTGGCTACTGAAGAGTCACATGGTGTGGAGGAGTTTTGCGAAGTGACATTTGATTATGTGTGTGAAGATTGGCCAGATGTATTTTAGGCCTGTGGAAGTGGATAATCTGAGAAGATAATCATGAAAGTAGCAGAGACGAGGATGTTGAGGTGGATGTGCGGGCATACAAGGATGGATAAGATTAGGAATGAAGATATTCGAGAGAAGGTGGGCGTGGCCCCCATGGAGGACAAGATGCGGGAAGTAAGACTCAGATGGTTCGGGCACATTCAGAGGAGGAGCATTGATGCACCGGTGAGGAGGTGTGAGCGACTGGCTGTAGTGGGCACGCGGAGAGGTAGAGGGCAACCTAAGAAGTATTGGGGAAAGGTGATCAGACAGG